GATCATCATTCACATTTTCCTCCATATTCTTCATTTCCTTTAAATGATATTTACTTTTGGGCATCTCAAAGCTAATGTAAAACTTTAATAGAATCCATTTTTCAATAATCTAAGAAAATCTTTTTTGTTAAAAGAATTTATTGAATTCTTTTTAAAAAACACCACATTCGAATTTGTGATGTTTCAAAAAAATTCATCATTATCATTAACTATTTCATTTAAATTTGAATTATTGAAAATATTTTCATTTATATTATTACGTTCGTGTTGATGAAAATTTTCTTGTATATGATATTGATAAAAGATTTGTTTTTTAACATTATATCAAAGAATTATGATAACTTTTCTAAAAAAAAATTTTTCTTTTACATAAATGAGATATTTAAAAAAAAGATATTTTTTATTTCTTTTTAGTTTCGTTTATTTATATATATCGAATGTTGTTAAAAAATACGTATTTAAATGGTTATCTACGATTTTTCAGAAGTAGATTGTTGTATTTCTAAAAATAAGAGATGTATTCTAATCTATTAGAATTAATTGATTTTTTAATTTGTATAATTTAATATGATATATTTTTATAATTTACTTCTCATAATGTATTTAGTGCTACTTTTGCCGCAGCATGTGATATCTTCTTTTTACAAAATAAAAAAGAAACGTATGTATTTCACACATAAAAGTAAAAATAACAAATATAGTTCTGAATGATATTTGTGGCTGATTAAAATAAAACTTAATTGATTTTTATAGGGCAGATGCAAAATATGAAATCATAGTTTTGACAATTCATACATTCATAAATTATCATGTATATATATAGATATTCGGCATTATTAAATGTTGCGTTCGGTAATTAATACAATAATTTTATGACATTCAAATAACAATTAATAAGAATAACAATAACAATTAAATGAATTCATTATATCTCAATAACTTTAAAAAAAATAAAAATAAAAAAATTAGTGATTATTTCAATTTAAAATGCATTAAATATTACAATAATGATCTGTTAAATTTTAAGAAGTTTTAGTAGACAGTATTAAAATTTCCAGGATAATGTTTTTTGTTTTAAATTGATTGAATTTACTTCAAAAAGAATGAGAAAATATATAATTAACAGGATAGATACAATACTTTGAAAAACGGCAGGCAAGATTTAATATTTCGAAAAAATGCCGCAATAGAAAAAAATAATTATGCAAAAAAAAAAATTTATTTTTTATAATTTTCATCATATTATTATAAAAATAATAACAATAGATTTCATGTTCATAACAATTTATTTTTTCTAATTATATGTATTCTCTTTTTTTACTGTTATCAATCATTGAGACTTAAAATAGTCTTCTCACTATGAATGGTGAAAAAAAAAA